GAAGTTCAAACTTAAAAAAAAATTAAAATAATTGTGTTTAAGGATCTTAGGAAATCTATTGTGCCATAAAAGAATAGTCTGTACACGTGATTTGTAGATCCATGGAAAATAACCCGTTGATGGTGATTATGCCCAGGCAGTGGGGTTCTAGTGGGATTACAGTGAGTGGCTGAGGGGACACTTTCATGTTTTTATGCTTACTTTATTGTCTGCCTTATATAATTTAGCTTGAATTTTCTAAGTGAAAAAAGAAAATTTAAATTATTTAAAATAAAAACATGAGAGAATTACAACGATGATCTAGTACATACAATACAAATTGTAACAGTGAAGATAACATTAGAATAGTGGGAAAACCAAAAGACAAATCACTGGATCAGAATAGAAATTAGAACCAGCAAAGTCTGCATAATAATTGTGTAAATGCTTCCAATAAGCCAGAAAAGCACATATTATTCAACAAATCATGCTAGGAGAATTGACTACAGGCATACCTTGTTTTATCGTGCTTTGCTTTATTGTGCTTCACAGATACTATGTTGTTGTTGTTTTTTTTTTTTTTTACAAATTAAAGGTTTGTTAAGAAAAAACCTTCCAAAAGCATTTTCTCAGTTTGTGGATCTGTGTCACATTTTGGTAATTCCTACAATATTTCAAACCCTCCACCAGCAAAAAGGTTACAACTGGCTGGAGGCTCAGCTAATGGTTAGCATTTTTTGGCAATTTTTAAAATTAAGGAATGTACATTATTTTTAAAGACATAATGCTATGCACACTTAATAGATTATAGTATAGTGTGAAACATAACTTTAATATATGCTGGAAACCAAAAAATTCATGTGACTCACTTTATTGCAGTATTTGCTTTATTGTGGTGGTCTGGCACTGAACCCTTAATAACTCTGAGGTTTACCTATAAATAGTTTGACAAACAAATTAAATGTGTCTACCTTATCCAATATAGAGAAAACGTTCCAAAAGGATTAAGGATGTGTGTCTGTCCATTATACACAGACACACATATATAAATAACCTTAAGCATTTAAAAATAAGGTGATTATTCATTGACCTTGTGTGGCAGAATAAATTTTTTGAGCATTACAACAAAAGTATAAACTGTTTAAAAAAAACACCGATTTATTTGACTTCAAAACTAGGATGAATAAGTTCTGGAAATCTAATGAACAGCACAGTGATTATAATTAATAATACTGTATTTTATACTTGAAATATGCTGAGAAGAGATCTTAATTTTTCTACCCCTCCCCCAAAAAGGTGGCTGTGAGTTGATATGGATATATTAATTAGCATGATTGTGATAATCATTTCACATTGTATATATACATCAAAACATCATATTGTATTTCCTAAATATATGCAGTTTTTGTTTGTCAATTATACTTCAGTAAAACTGGGAAAAATATCTTGACACATTCACAAAATAAGATTTGAAAGTAAATGACAACATGGGAATAAAACTGTAACAAATGTAAGAGATCAAAGACTAATATCTTTAGTACAGGAATCCTAATGAAAAATTAATGAGAAAAATTATGAACATTACAGGAGAAAAGGTATAAATATGAATTGACAATTTATAATAAGTAAATTTCAATCTCAGTACAAGCAAAGTCACATTAAAATTAAATGCCTTTTTTTAACCATCAGATTGGCATGAATTTTAAAAATGTATAATATCCAATGTTAATAAGATCTCACTTTGTTGGAAACAAATTATTAAAACCTGGCTTAGGGATAATTTGTCAATATATGGAAAATGTTCTAAAATGAGCAGTATACTTTGATAAAGTAAATTCAAACTTACTATTCTGTCATAAATAAATATAATAATATTTTGGTCAAAAACAAGGTTGGTAATGCCACAAAAATAGAATTTGGTGGGAAATTTATAGCTTTAAATGCTTACATTAGAAAATAGCAATAATTTACAATCAGTGCTCTAAGCTTTTACCTTAAGAGACTAGAAAAAAAAGAACAAATTAAATACAAAATAAGTACAAGGCAGGAAATAATAAAGATAAGGGTAGAAATCAATGAAGTAGTAAACAGACAAACCATAGGGCAAATCAATGAAATAAAACATTGATTTCTTGGAAAAGATCGATAAAATTGATAAACTTTAGCAAGACAGCTTTAGTGGAAAAAAAGACAATACAAATTGCAGATGTCCATAATTAAATACACATGTCTCTCATCCTATTGACTTAATAACAATTAAATGTTATAAATAATATTTTGTAATAAATTTAATAATTTAGATGAAATGAACAAATTCCTCAAAAGATATAAATCACCAATACTGGTATAATAAAAATGAGAAACTATCTGAATAGATCTACATATATCAAAGACAGTGAGTCTGTATTTAGTAACAGTCCCATGGCAAGGAATCTGTAGAACCTGAGGGGCAGTTGGTATAAGTTTTTGCCTGAGTCCAAAGACCTGAGAATCAGGAGCACTGATACCCAATATCCAGCTTGAGAAGAGAGAACAAATTCACTCTTCCTTCTTTTTGTTCTACTCAGGCCCTTGATGGACTGGATGATTGGTGAATGTGATTTTCTTTACTCAGTCTACCAATTCAAACACTAACATATTCTGGAAGCACTCTCACAGACACACCCAGAAATAATACCTTATCAACTATCTGGGCACCCTGTAACCAGTGAAGTTGACACATAAATTTAACCATCAAACCCTGTGAAAACTCATATGTGAAAAGGAAAATAAGCCTCAACTCCCACTTCACACCATACACAAA